GTAATGAATATAATTTCTTCTTCACAGATATCATGGAATCCCTGTGATCAGTACCCATTTTCAGTCAGTCCTCATCTACTATTGATCATTGACAATTTAAACTGAAAGCTTGGACCTGTAAAGTGCAAACTCATTCAGGTAAGAAAGTCATCAATAGTTAAAAATGAAAATTGCAACGTTATAAGCCTGATGCAAAACCTGATTTCTAAAAATGAAAATGAATCATTGTTAATTCTTGTAACTTTGCATGAGTTTTCATCTTTATCTTCACATTCTGAAACTGTCATTCAAATATATTTCCTGATTGTCAAGTAACAGTAACCTTGAAAAAGCAGTTTTTTACGGTTTATGAGGTTTTAAATGTTCGAAATGCAGGTATCATCAATGATGAAACCCAATCGTCAATAAGAAAGCAAAAAGCACTGCCAAAAATGCCAGTTCTCTACTTAACTTTTTTTCTTCTCTTTATTTTTAGATGCTCTGAAATGGCCAAAATCGATTCATAATGGCTTCCCGTGAACTCAGTCTGAAAGGCAATGATATTATTGTTCAAACAGTGCTGAAAAGGACTCCCCTCTCTAGTCCTGTCAAAGACAGCGACTCAAACTCCAACGATGCTGCTTTTCGACCATCAAATCTGGCGATTGAGGCCGAAAATTCGTTTACACCCTCCCTCTTGGGCCCGCTGAAGCCACGCTCCTCTATACTTGAAAAGACTTCACCTCCCGCAACAAGCGCTCCCTTTGGCCCAACTATCCTAGACAAACTTATCACAAAAAATAAGTTGCAGTCAATGAAAGAGGCCGAGCTTAGGAAAGACAAGAATGAAGTGGTTACGGCACCACAAGATGTAAAAACGGTAGATCCTCAGGTCCTAGAAAAACGCAAGATGATGGCGTATAGACTAAGGAATCCATTTGTAACAAAGCGCAGGAAAAAGTTTAAGCGCAAGATGAATCAACAGGAAGCCTCGAAACAGGAAGGCTCCAAGCAGAAAAGGTTGACGGGCAATGCATCTCCAAGCTCAAAGAAAAATTCCTCAGTCAAGGATTCAAAGATAGACACAAGAATTGCTGCCAACCGTGCCCGGAGGAGGCTCAACTCTGAATCGAGCTCTAGTCTGCAAAGCAAAAAGTCTCTACGTAATAAGTCCAGACCTCTTAAGCAACAATCCAAGATGTCAAACGTTGAAGCACTAAAGCAGAGCTCAAAAATGGGCAGAAACAACCGATACTCAACTCGATCTGACTCTCCTGTTCTGCGAAATGGAAAACGCAGGAAGTGTGATGAAATGTCTTTAGATCTCTATGACATAGACACGAAAAGAAAGAAATTGACAAGAATTGATCTGGCATCTGTCAAGAGTGATGGTATGTCAGATGAGCAGTGCAGCTATGTCACTGCTTCTGAAAGTGATATTTGCAGTTTTCTAGACCTGGAAACAAGCTCTCAAAACTTAGATGTAAAGGAAGAATCATGTGACTCAACGTTCAAGCTAGAAATTCCAACATCTCCTAGTGTTGATGGAGATGAAGGCAATGCCAACATGATAAACTTAAAAGAACCTTTCAAAGGCATTGGGGCTTCACCTATGAAAGTACTAAAGAAGGAGCGTTGTAGTGTCGAACAAGAAAGTAAATCATTGGATGGTTTTGATGCAAAGTCTCCTGTTAAAGTTGAAAACTACGAAAGTTTAAAGAGCGAGGTTGTTTCTCCAAAAGTGGAAATAGATCCTAATTCAGAGGAGGCAGAGCAAGATTTCGAAAGTCTCGATATGAAAGATGCTGAAAAGGATATTGAAGAAGTCAGCGAAGATGATACTGCAATGGAGAAAGATTTTGTGAATGAGGAAAAATCAGAAGATCTTTCATTTCAGCTCAATTGCAGCAATGAAACGGTGGTGCTTGATGACTCTTCTGCGTCTGATAATGTTACGACCACAGGAGAACTGAGCAGCAATAGAACAAAGGAGCCTAATGTTCCGAAATCAAGGTACCGTATAGTATGCATAATAAGAGGGTAGTGGCAAGGCATTTTTGTAGGATTGATTTTTGTTTAGTTGCCCTGAAGTAAAATTTTGTGAAAAAACCAAAAAAGTCAGTACAAAAGCTCTATAAATCCTAAAGCAAGTAGGTAAAATAGGACACTGGTTTTTTCAGTATGCATGAAAAACAAAACTAGCTCTTTGAGATTTTCAAGTATTTCTTCTGTAATGGTTTTTCCAGAGGTTATTTTAAAATTTAAAAGCAGACAGGTTCAAAGTATCTCATCCCTTAGACTTACTTGGTACTCTCTCAAATGAACTTTTTATGTTTGTTTGATATTTATTTCAGTGCAAAGCTAGTCGGGAAGTGACCTTTAAAATAACTCTTTTATCAGCAGGGCGCCCTAAACTATGTGACAATCATGGAGTTCTTTTTATATTTTCAGCTCAAAGGAAGTTTGTCAAGGGAGGAAATTTAGGTCAGCATCCTTGAATAACAGTTGCTGTACGGGTGTAACATTCACGCGCAAGCGCTCCTCACAAAAAGATGATGAAGAACTCAAAAGTTCAGATTCAGATGAACATGAAGTCAGTTTTACTGCAGATAACAGTCAGTTTGAGTTGTTCGTGGAGCGGGAGTACAAGCGAGGCCAAAAGAAACGAAGTTCCAGTGATACCAGTCTTCAGCGGCTTCAGAATACCAGTGATGCAACAGGTTAGTGTTTCCATTCAGTTTTTTCATCAGGAAATGCAAGAGAGACCAAAATTTTATCCCTTCTACTCTCTAACGTAGGTCATGAAGATTGGAAAAAGGATCAGATGGATTTGAATCCTGTTACCACATCCTAATTTATTATTTGTAAGGTCAAGTTAATAATTTTGAATTTAACTCAGCTTTTACATGCCTTTTCTGTAATTTTGTATTCACAGTTACTGTGTCACTGGTACTGTACTGTTCACTGGTTTTTTTGCCTCAGCACTTTATCTTATTTCTGGCGCGAGAATCATCAGATCTGCAAAAAGTATTGTTTCATGAGATGAGATATTAATAAAGAGGAACTGTAAATGGTACATTTTTGTTGAAATGAGAGAAATTCTCAGAAATACTGCAAATTAAGTGTTCAAGAGGGAAATGCTGAGAATGAAGAAAGCTTGTCTCTGTCAGTTTTCCATCGGTTATTTTGGTGTAGATAACCGGATACCAGACTAGCTGTTTGATCATGATGTCGAATACCATGTCACTTTGGACTTCCATTAGTGTCATTATGGATCTGATTCCCTCTAGAAATTCCTGCTGACCTCCTCTAGAAACCCATCTCTGTTGCTCCTAGCATATCCTGTGTCCATTTCTGTGTGACTAAGAAGAAACCAGGGATAAATGTTGTTCTTTACAATAAACTAAGGACTTAAATTGCGGTAGTTATGAAGTTTACTTTCAACACATTAAAAATAATGATCCAATAAATGTTTTTAAGCCCCAACCAATTCTCTTCTACTTTTGTTTAAATATGTGAAGCTATATTGAAACTGGTTTCTCTTTTTCTTTGCAGATATAAAATTCAAGTTGATTCGGCCGATACCTGAAGATGAGAAATCATCTGATGCAAACGGCCCGTTTAGTGATGAAAAAGAGAATGAGTTCTATGAAAAGTACATCACTGAGGAGTCGACCAGTGAAGAAGCTTCATGTAGCTCATCGCAGGTTTCAGAGCACCCCAAGATAACGGACAAAGAGTTTTCGTCCTTGGAGGACATGAACACTAAAAACGATAATGATCTGAAGAAGAATGATGAACAGCAAGGTGAGTCCTTTTTAAATTGCTGATGAGTCCTTTCGCTACAACTGCAAATGCTTATTGAAGTGAGTGAGAGGAATCCTAATTCTAGAGGTGACAGAATTTCAATTTTATTTGATCCTGTTAATTAAAGATGATTGTGTAAATATTGTACTGGATGGCAATGCTGATTAATGTGACTTAAACATCTTTGTCTTTTACCTCATATGTGTAGCGTTTCAAAGTGAATGAAATAAGTGTCTGCTAAGTAAAATCTTTGCGTGAATATTCAGACGACTCTAATTACTTCTGATAATGCAGAATATACATTTATAAATACAAGTTTTAAAATTTTCCTTTTTTTCATTCTTCCTACAGCAGTGAGTGAAAGTAAACAAGACCAGTCAACAGACGATGGTCTTTCTACCTGTGAGAACAACAAGCCTCCGTGCGAAAATCCGGAAGCTCAAGCAATGAAGGAGTCCATATTGGGCGCTCTTGGGCTTCAGTCCGCATCGATGCAAGCTGCTTCTAAAACAAAGCCCAAAGACAAGTATACAGGCACACTGAAAGCAGTGATCAAACTGAACCGAAATGCGGACAAAAAGAGCGCAGCAGGGAGGATGGTCTTCAAGCAGAAAGATACCTCTAATGTTGGTGGCAAGAGTCTTGAGTATCGAATTTGCTCAGAGGTAAGTCGCCAGAAACAATACCAAATATCAAGGTGTTTTTCTTCTTTTGAAAGTTTATTACCATTCAAACGTACTTACAGACCAAATTTTAATTTTGAAAAAGTACATCCATGTCCTCATTTTTTTTTCTTCTAATGCTTATTTAACAAACTAGGTCAATATTACCAAAAATACATGGAGTAGTAACGTCATACGTCTTATAAATAGAAACCTTCTCAGATACTGTATCATCGTGCAACTTAAAATTGTTTTGCACCAACTGATTTTTCTAGATATTATTTGAAGTACGGAGCTCTGAGTTTTTCTGTAAGAAACGAGGGAGGTGTCAAAGCTAATATTATGTATTAATGTACTATATGTGTAACTGGATCAGCATTACACGTGCATCGTAACAGGGGTGGGAGGATGTCAACAACTTTTGAAAATAGTGTATTGGAAATCATGGTCAGCCTATAGAGATACCTAGATGAGAAGGTTTTCAGTTCTTTGTTTAATGTTATCATCACTTTAATCCAAGTATTTTTTAATTTCTGAGACTCTGTTTTTCTGTAAATATACAATTCTGACTGCTTCACTATGGACTCTTCTTATCTTCCCATGTTTTTCAGTTGGCACCTGGAACAGAAAACGTACCTTTGACCCACTTAAAAGACATTGTCGTGAACAGTATCTCCAAGAAAGCTCACTCTAAACCTAAATCTCACTTTGGTAAGTTTAATTTTTTTATTTTCCAATTTCAACTTTCTCCTTCAAAGGCCGCTAACATTCGGATGGAATTGAGTATTGACAGCCAAACAGCTATTAATTGAAGCTGGCATATTTTTCTGACAAATCTTTACCCTCTGTACAGAAAATGTCATACTCTTGATTTGCGCACTTTTTTTAAAGTTAATGGCAGTGTAATCTTTGTAGCTCTTTCAAATTTTTTACCTCTGATATGTGCGTATTAATTATTATCTAGACAAGCTTGCTATTTGTTCAGTCTTCATTGTTGTACATGATCATTTGAACCAAGGAGATGCATGTGGAGATAAACAGAAAGAAACCAATTGGCATTTTCCGAAGAACTGAGTTAAATGCTGTTTTGATTAATTAATTCAATATAAATCATTGCCCATTGAAATACATAATGACAAGTGAAAACTGTGAAGTCAGTCTTATAATATCAAAATTATTGATTCCATTGTGCTTGGTGGCTAAGTTCATTCTCATAAGAAGAGTTAAGGCCTCTGCTCAGTCATTATCCAAAAGCACAGATGGTGTAAAGTAGAGAAGTAGAGTGAAAAATACAGGCCTTTAGATCAGGGTGCTGTCCTCTGCCACCTCAGCTTTTAAACATAAAAGTTAAATTGGGTTTTATCCTTTTAGGGGAAGGGGGGGGAGTATGGTTGAAATTTGAATTCACCGCTGAGATTTTGAGAGGATTGACTTATCAACCTTTTTTTATGGAAATGAATCCATTGTTTGTCGTTCAGTTTTTTGTCATTAATCTTCTGGAGACTGTCAGATCTAATCAGTTTTGTGCTGCACACTCGAATTTTCTCTCTTTTGTTTTAATTTGAACAGAAAGTTAGCTTTTTTAATAAGTTAGCCCTTCCTGATCAGCACAATTTACAGTAAAGTCAAGTGGAAAAGTAGTATGGCAAGCTCTGTAACTTTCAGTTCATTAATTCAGCTTTTGTCCGGTACTTATCAGTCTTTTGTATTTTACTTTACAGATCTGAGTGGACCTCTAAACGAAGTTGATTTGGAGGTCGCACAAGTAAAGAAAGCTGATGATTCTGGAGATGGCTCCACTGCAAAAGAAGGGGAGCCAAAGAAGTAAGTTCTATCAATTATTCTTGAAGGTTCTTCAATTTTTTTAAGAACCTTTTTACACAAGTGTTTACTGGAAAAACTTGAACTCAATGATTAGTCTCTAGATGTCTGAGGTTGCTCGATTTTGTATTGAAGTATTTTGTAATGCATTTAGGAGGAGACTTTAGTCTTCAACATCAAAGAGTTCAGAGCTGCAGCATAATTCAAAATATCTAGCGTAGTAGTGATATTGCTGAGGAGACCACTAGTAATCTCTCTGACTGTGAGTTTGATCAAGCAATTGAATTTATCATCAAGTTAAGGTTTAATTGGATTGCATTTTGTGAAAAGGAACCAGGAGCATTCTAATGTTGCTAAGATTGTGCAACTTTTTTTACCTCGCAAATATAAACTGATCATCGAAACAAGTTTTATCTTTACTCCCAATAAACTAAATTCGAGACGAATATTACCTTTTTAAATTTAATTTTTTGCACAAGTTCAGTTTTTTGATCGTGAAGAATTTAAGTTGCACAATCTTAGTGACATTGGAATGCTTTTGGTTCCGTTTTGCAAAATGTCCAATTAATCTTAGCAATGGCTCACGAGTCCCTGCAAAATAATCAATATAATTTATTCATTTTGTCTGAAGACCATCATTCGCTCAAGTTTCTGTCATATTTCTAATCTTGTATAGATGGATTTTATCTGAAATTTTGCTCATCGCAATCATTTTAAAAAAAAAAAGAAGCAAAATGGAGTAAGAACTTTCAGACAATCTAGATTGTATTCACAAAAGATCCTCTTTTAACCGTCAGAATTTAAAAATTGTACCACATTTTGCAATAGGTAGCTTAACGCGGGTACTGCCATATTGCTCAAGTTGTGCAACTCCTTTGTTTACTCTCAATTAAATGGAACATCAGGAAATGAAATTTATGGAGTAATTTTTTCATTTATTAATTAATTAAATGTTTTTGGTTATGCAATAAAAACGGTTTTAATTTGCAGATTTTCTGGCAAAATAAAATGATGTGATCAATCACAGTAACATTTTAAAGCCAATCGCATGATGCAGTACAATTTTTCAGAGCTAATTCAATCTAGTTTAGTTCCTTTTTTTAAACACTTTTTTTCTATTTTTTCAGAGCATTGGTTATCCCAGAGAAAAGTTCATCTTTCTCAATCCACCCCGAACGTCTTTGTTCTGATGTGTGCAGTTATTGTCATGGGAAATTTGGGTCATTGGACACTCCCTGTCACATTGGTCAGATAAAGAATTCTGAGAGGCGATCTAAAATCCTAAGTAGTAAGTCTCTTGTTTTTCATTCAGTTTGCATGTCAATGTCATCCATCCTCATGATGATCCAAGCTGCAGATTGAACGAAGAAAAATTTTGATCAATCTGAGGAATCTAATTTTTAAGCTCCTCATGGCATGCTCTTTAAATAAAATCAATTTTGAAACCAATTGAAATTTTACAGTAATTTGCTTCTAAACATTTTTACTTTCAATGCTTTCATGGAATTTCAATTATGGTATCACTGCTCGGTCGGAACAGCTAGAATCAATTATTTACTTTACCTCATTTATCGAAAAGGGTCTCTAGTCGAGGTATGAATTAAAGCCGCTCACAACTTGTTTTCTCTTCAAAGTGTCGAAGGGAACATTAATCCCTTTACAGGAATCCAGGATATCAACTGCTGAACAAGGTGTAAGCGGTTACGGTTCACATCTGTCAAATAGCCAAAAAAATTATATTATTCGTATTATCTATCTATTATTTGATACGTCAAAAATACTTGTTAATGTTTCATTCAAAAGTTGACTTCTGAGCTCCTGTTTTATCAATTGTTTTTTACCCAAATTTTTGAAGAAACTACATGTGGGTTTTTTTTTTTAAATTTGTACCTTGTCTCATGGTCCATTGTCTGGGAATTAAGTTTTCATCAATGAGGAAAAAGGAAAAACAATATCAGTAAAGAAGTAACCTTGATCATGAAGTGCATTATAGAAGATAAGATAAATTGTTGACAGCATACGTTATGTAATGGAAGTTTGCATTGGAATGGCTTACGAACAAAACTGCATCAACTGAAACTGTGAAGCAAGTCACTGGACAGATTTGATCACAGAAGCATCTAAAATTAAGGAAAAAACTGGCATTTTGACACTTTAAATTCAACTGAAAAACCGTCTCAACGATGACATTGTCTCTGTGATATTTGGAAAAAAATACTCTCTTAAATGCAGTTTGATGACTCGTACAACATGTGAATATTGATGAAAAATCTTACAGTATTTGAGTACGCTTAATGCAAAATTTGAACATGCACCATTACTTCAGTTCCGTTATATTATTAGTAAGATTTGTAAAACCTTGGTAGTTTTTTAAATAAAATCGTTTGTTTGCGATTTAAATCATGTGACTGCCATGTTGCATTGGATTCAAGATGGTTGGAACCATAGGTTGTCACTCATTTGATATCATAAGCTTCAGGCCAACTAGAAAGTTTTTTTGTGACTTCAACTTTCAGCATTTTTCAATAAGAAAAAACATTTTTGAGCCTTTCAAAGCTCAGAAACATTTTTAATGCTAAAATTTAGGCAAAAATTAGGTACATATTTTCAAGGCAATTCCTGGATTTTGCATTAGCTCTGTTACCTTTTTAGCCACTGCAGTTATGTTCAATTGCTACAGAAGGATAGTCTGGATATTTAGCTTGCAATTATAGTAATGTAGTCCCCATAATTTCAAAAAGAGTAATCAAGTGTTTTGTTTTCCTCTCATAAGTTGCCTTGATAGTGTCTCAAATTTAATATGGAATGTAATTTTTTTTTCCTTTTCTAGTTGAAATCCTTCTGACAAAAGACTCCTGTCTCTGTGATGCGTGTTTCCGTTACGTAGACCGAAGAGCCAATTGTCCATCATTCAAAGCGCAAACTCCACGACCTCAGAAACGACAGCCATTAAGCGATGCTGTCTGTTCCGTTCAGGGCTGTGGTCAGCCTGCAAATCACTCTGTAAGGAGGAAGTGGATTGTGAAACTGAAGAAGAGCATTGCGAAAAAGGTATGATGCTGGTTCTTGAGTCAGACACTGTTCTGATTATCAAGTTATTGTTTTTTTAGTTCATTTAATTTGATCCCCCATTACTGTGCTTTTTTTTTTTTCAAAGAAGAAAAAAAGAAGAAGACGCAGAAGGCTCTAATGCCAAAACTGTAGGAAATTCTTTGAAATTAATGATTGGCTCCTTAAACTAGTTAAAAGACGTATAGTGCTGCCTCGATTTTCAATTTTGTATTTAATTAATAACTGTAGTTCTTTTATTTATGTTTTATTCAAGACTGATTTTTCTCTTTTTGATATTTTTAGTTGATGATTGACATGGAGAAGATACAACATAATCAACACTTACCATTCCCTCTGTGCTCTCAACATTATTACTGGGTAAGTTCTGCAAGCTCCTCTTCTTAATATTTACATATTTGCTACAAGATGACAATCTGTTTCGTCTCCCATTAACGTACTATCATTTGCACTGGGAACTTTATATAGAGAGACAAAAATATACAACTGCCAGTAGTCTCCTCTGCAACATGGAGTCCTACATTTTTGAGCACTCTAAGAACTTCCCTCTTCCAATTTGAATGCTCAACTAACTTAAGGTCTTTCTCGATTGAAGATAAATAATTAAATTTAAAGTCATAAGAGCAATCTACAAGGTTTTGGCTTGGTGAGATCTCCAACTGACTAATTTTGTTGAAGCTCTAAACCTGCTGTCACTTTAAATTTAGCAAACCGTGGAATACATTGTGTCTTTTTAATGAAGTATTTTTTTTCCCCCTACTCCGAGTGAGTTGCATTCTTTAAGTAGAGACAAAATTTACTCCAACTCCTAAACTCTTACCGACTCTTAAAATTTTTTGGCAAAGGTGTCATCCTCAAGGGTTGAACTCGGGTAGCAGCGCCTGTAATAAGTGCAGTGTTTTAACAAGCTTTGGTTGGTGACATAGTACTTAAGAATCACCTCATCTTATTTTCAGGTGGACTATTTCACAGTTTGCGGTATTTGTAAGAAACGATTATCGCGGAATAATATGTATGCGCTGGGCCCTGAAGCTGAAGAGTTGAATCAGTACTTGCATGAGGATGGTATACCGGTCCACCTGACTGATAAACTATTCCTTTGTAAGTTATGCCGCTACTACAGTTCTTTGCGCCTCAAGTACAAGGACCTATCTCTGATGACCCCTGGACATAAGACTTACTTCCGGAGCTATCGAAGAAAGTAAGTGGATTTGTGAATATTTTAACCTTTTCATTACCAAGTTACCCAGCAGGTGACCCATCCCCAGAAACTGGGTTATTTTTCTGCGCGCTTGCTGTGTAAAGGATGTTTCAGTATTCTTATTGTCATGTGTTCCCTGCTAATCCCGGCAACTTGAAATTTTGTACAGATGATCTTGATAGGTTGTAGAATAAACGCATTGAAAAAGAAACGCTCAAAATAATATTTTACGAACGAAAAACAACGACATAACCATGCAACAATTTTGTTTACATTTCCTTGTGTGCAAATCAAACTATCCTGGTCTTGCAGTGCGAGCGCTATCTAGTCATTGTATTGTTATGGCCTATTAAGTTTCAAGGTCACGTTGAACTTTTTAGGTCCTCTGCATTCAAATTTCTAAGCATTCACTCTGTTAGACTTCTATGCTCAGAATATGGAAATGCCATATAGTCTATTTTTTAATATTACATGTTAATTTTTTATAGCTCCATTTCTGTAATTTTCTAACGAATTGCTGTTCCTTTCTAGGATTTTACAATATCATGATATTGAAGTGAGCGAGAGTGAAGAAGACATTGGTAGCAAATCAGCCGAGGATGAGTCTGCAGACCATCACCAACAAGGAAAAGTGCGGCGGCGCAAAGGTAAGAAGAGTGCCTCAGATGAAATTAAGAAAGCAGGGCCCGAGGAAAAACCAAGACCAAACCTCTCAAGCTCACAAGGATGCAACTATGTTGATCCGGTGGAGGGTCAAAGTGAGGCTCTAGCTCCAACAATTGATTACAGTGCCTTAGATGACAACCCCGATGTTGGATTTAATAATATTGCATCCCTCCTGAGTGGACGGGATCAGCCTGAGTGCGGGAATCAAGCGCGCATCCAGGTCAAGTTCGGCAATTTAAATATTGGTAAATTGGCAAACTTGAATATTGGTCAGGATGCACGTACAAACTCTTCTGCTCCGCGACCACCGTATCTCCCTGGAGAGCAAGATCTCCCGCTGAAAGCAGATATGTCGTTCCAGTCAAACAACAAAAAAACAACCTGGGAACGTTGCGTTTCTACGATCCAGTTTGATAAAGATACTAAACAACTGTGGCAGGAACTTCAGCGACCCTATGGGAATGCCTCTAGTTTCATGCGGCACCTAGTCATGCTGGAGAAGCACTGGCGGTCAGGTTCTCTGGTTCTCGTGGATAACCCAGACCCTCGTGCAGCCAAGTACGTCAACAGTGTGCGTAACCGTGTAGACTCTTTTGAACGTAATTTTAAAACGCCTACTCTCTCGACGATTCTGTCTAAACCGCCTGTTCAAAGCCCGTCTCCAAATCCGCCAGCCAATGTACCCTCTGTAGTATCTGGCACAAGTGCAGAAACGGATGTTGCTCCCCCTAAACTCAGCGACTCAAGTGATAAATGTGATAAATTAGTCAGTAAGTCCGATGCTCCTCAGGTGCCTCCCGTAACTAGTGCTGTGGTGAATGAAATATCAACCTGTGTAATGGTTAGCACTCCCAGTGTTCCAGTTGTTTCCAATGTTCCGACCACTACATTCAGTCATGGGACCAGCACACCAAAGTCTACAACTAGCACACCATGCTATACGACCAGCGGGCCTAGTTTTACGACTTCAGCAACCACCAGTGCTCTAGTACAGAGTCTGAATGCGCCAAGTGCTATTCCAATTGTCAATCTAGTGAATTTGAATTCAAATACTTCTAATTCAAACACTAGTTTTTCACCTAGCATTAGTTTTTCAAATCCTAGCATTAGTTTTTCAAATCCAAGCATTAGCTTTCCAAATTCTAGTGTAAGCCTCAGTCGGACCAGTGCAAGCCCAAATGTATCTTACGCTAGTTTAGCCTCGGTGCCCGCGAGTTCAAGCCCCAGCGTTAGTCTTATCCTCCCACCCAATTTATCTACATCCCTTCCTAGCTCCCTTCAAAACACTCTTATCAATTTTGATAGGAACAATATTAGCCTTAATCAATTTTCCGCACCCAACATTAGCATTAGTCCTAGCCCTAGTTTGAAAACCTCTCCTAGCCTTAGCATTGCTCCAAAACCAAATTTCCCCCGACAGCCGCGGCCTCAGGGGGCCATTTCTAAATTGTTAACGGGTAACAAGTCAATGTCTTCTCCTAATAATGTAAGTGGCAACCTTCAAATGAGGAGGGTTGCTCCAATGGATCCCTCACAGTTTAAAGTTCGTAAACCGAAGCCACCCCAAAGGCAAGTGTCCAAAATCCCTCCGCAGCTGTTACGATTTCCTGGGCCATCAAGACCCAGTGTACCAGGGCTAGAGCTTATTGTTCCTAAGTCATTTACAATGCAGACAAAAACTATTCCTGGTTCAAGTCAGGGTGGTTCGCGGCCACGCATGTCAGCTCCTACACAAGGGATCATGGAAAATCTTGCTCTATTGCGTCAATACCGGTCGTTGAAGCCTAAACCAATTGAACCTAAACCATCAGGTTTCAACCCGATGATTTGTGATGTGCGATCGTTGGCATCAACTGATACAGATGGCCCAAAGCCTGCAGCTGCAGGGTCAATGCCCAAAATCCCAAAAGCATTGACCATCACGCAGGTCTCGCAACCAGGTGGTTTACCACGCAGTGTGACGGTTTCGCTCGAAAAGAAACCTAATCAAATTCCTGCAGCGTTCCTTGGTGGTGAAAAACCGTCTGTGTCTGTTTTCTGTGAAGTCAATCCACCACCTTGAGCTCTGAGAGCTGTTTCGGGTATCTCTGTAAATATTGGTTTACTTCAAAGTTCCTAGCCTTGAGGCAATGCAAGCGTAATCAGCATGGTTTGGTTTGGTTTAATTGCCCTCTACTTTGGCTACATACAGTAGGAATTCTTCCTCTTGTCTCTGACTGTTTCAGTTAGACTTCTGTCTCAATAGCATATATCCATTCCTGGAGCAAAATGACCTCAGCTTGTAGTAAACGGCCGAAATTTGTCTTTTATCATCGCATGCTGACCATTTCTAAACCAAAGTCTTAAATTATTGAAATATATCCATCCTGAATATTTCAGATGATCTGCATCTTTGTAAGTGCAAGGCGTTCCTAGTAATTAAAAAATAAAATAAAAATAGACCCTGTCCTGTGACTCACCATTACCATGCAATGATTAAACTGTTTTGATACGAGCACTAACTTTTTTCAAATAAAAACAACCAGAAAAAGATCATCTCAAAATGTTACTTCTTCAGAAACTTTTTACAAACAATTAGGGTAATTATATACATATCGATAGTGAAACTCCCAAACCACGTATCTTGATTTGCAACTCTTCAAAATTCCTGTGATACTTTTTAAACACAAAATTACATCAAATCGTAAGAAGCACCTATCATAATTTTTCTCTTTTGTGTGAAGAAAAGACTGTGAAAACTTCAAGAAATGAGGTAAATGTGTTCTTCTGCAGAAAAATAAAATTTGAACGAAGATTTTTTAAACACTGCAAGGGAGATAAGTTGTTTGGGAGTTTCACTGCCGTTTTATCAAAACAGAAAAATTAATTTCCTACGATTTTGAAAACTACTATTTTATTATTTTCTTCATGTTTTTGAAAAGTGTAACATTGGCAATGAGGAATCTTTTTACATAAGTCTGTGAAAGCATATTCGGAGTTATATGAAGGCAGTCATTCTAGAATTTTTAAAAAATTGTGCTTTTCAACCCATTGCTTTATTGCTTTTTCTCTTTTTATTGAATAATTTTTCCTCCATTGTGAAAGCATCATTGGGCCCCTTAACTAAATGAAAGAAAAAATCAGCCCAATTTTTTGTAAATTTTGAATGACACTATAACGATGGTTCAATTTCTACTATTCTCAGTCACTGTTCTATGCAAAATGCGTTGTCGGTATTGTGTATTTTAAGTTGTGGCCGATTAAGCATCTTTTTAAGGAAATGTTTGAAACATCTCCTGCAATACTTTAATGAATTCATCTATTTTTGATAATTTACTTTCATAGAGGAGTGAAAAAATTTCGTTTGTTGTTATCAAAATATAATGAAAAAATACCTCCCTCTTTGTTATTTTAGTAAGCAAGTTTTCTTTTTCAAATTTTATTTTCGTCAACTTAACAATATTTTGATTTTCATAAACCTGCTGATGAATTCCACCAACCACTTTTGAGGTGCCGGCCTCCCATTATTTAATTTTTCTTAAAATTAATTCTGATTTTGTCAGACCACCCATGAACTTATGAAAACTATGTAAAGGAATTCAAGTAGGCAACTGCATTCTCACATTTATGAGAAAGCCATCTTTACATAAGTAGGTATCATGAGTTCAACGAAACTTAGTAGCAAGAGGTCTAACTGAATCAGAATCTAATGCAGTGTGTTCGGAATTTAGATTCTGTGAAAAGTTGAATATCTGTAAAAACTATCGGAAGTATGCTTGACGAAGCAATGTTCTTAGTTTCTGTTCCATCCCATAAACTAAATCCCAACATTTAATTTGTACTTTGAACCCTATACTTCAGGCTTATCCCATTTAATGTACCCAGAAATATGTATATAATAGTTGTTCTTATCATTTCCCTCAATCTTATTTGAAACAGATTCAGATTAATCGGAAATTTACAGAAACTAACTCTGTTATCAGATCAATACAAAAGCCTTGAATCTTTGTAATCCATTATTTATCTCTTTTTTTTCTCAAGGTTTGGTCTTTAGCTCTGCTTATGCGTTTAATCATGAATTTGGAATTCGTTAGTTTCTCTGCACTACTTCTTATGATTGCCACCCTGTCATAGGACTGGCAGGTGTTTTTAGTCATTTTCTTCAGGGGTCACAAATAATGAAGGGGTCAGTTTAGTGCGTCATAAGTGGCGCATTATCCTTTTTTTTACCCGATTTAAAAAGTAACACTTATCTAGTCGAGTGAATATTGAACGCAGGTGGCCGTACTTCTTAAAATTGAAAATCGATAAATGTGGTTTTAGGAACTGTATATTCATACGTACTAAAAATCAGGATGTGCCAGGGTCAGCCAGGAATATTAAACTTAAGTCAAGCAGTTCGATCTCCTCTCTCTAGTGGTCATTGCTAGAAAGTATGCTTAAAAATATCAAAATAGTTAAGGACTTTTTAAAAATCTGAAGCAGTAAGACTGTTGATCTTAATGTTAGTCTTTTTCACTACAGAGCTTGATTTTTCACACAGAGAACAAACCCCAACTTAATATAAAATCAAAGTCATTAAGTTTACTATCAAGTCTCTCTGATGCTTTGATCAATGGAGCAACTTAATTTGCATCCTTTCTAATTATCATTCATTGCAAAAAGTCAGAACGCTCCTTCTGAAAAGCTGATGGATTAATATCTGCAATCCTCAAATATATATCTGTATTTTTTAAATGACTTTTTGATACAGAAGTCGTCAATTGTCAGTTAGTCTTCGATGATTGATAATGTATTGTAAAGTATCAAGGTAGATACTGACTTTTTATACATCCTTCATGGAGTTTGTGAGGCTAGTAATAGATTTCAGGCGTTTCGTCAAAAACTTTCTGTAATCATCTCCTGGAAAAATATAATATGTACTATTGAAAATTTTTTTTTAGAACAGCTGTATTAAGAAAAAAATTGGGTCATAGCTTTCCTTTTTGATTTCAGTATGTGATTATTTATATTGTATGTCAAATTTTTCTGGTCGATTATCACGATTTATTAACTTTATCAAAGTTTTTCTAACTTTCGTGTCCTCGTTATTCAGGCAAATATTGGTGATGAGATTTACTAGATGTACATCGTTATCAATAATTTTTGTATCTTTGTTGGAACCACAACTTGTCATGTCCAAGTTTTGGGCAATAGTTTTACATATCTTAAAGGACAGTGAAGTCGTACTTTTATCAATTATCTGCCGGTATTGTATCTTGCACATCTCCATTCAAGATTCAAAATGTTCAGCTGTATGAGGAAATAGATGATGTGAAAAGAGGTATTGTTTTGAGGAGAGATCCCTTTTTTTTTGTCCTGAATCGCAAGATTGGACTGTCTTCGGTGCCCCCGATCCTGTGATTATCAAGGTTTTTTGAAAATAAAATAAAAATCTAGCTCATTGTGGCGGCAAGAAACATTTTGTCAGTTGTTGGGAATGAATTTGTGAATAAGTTGAATCTTAACAGCAGAATATATATTCACACTTAAGGAAAAGAGTCTCAGCTCTACTAATTTATCTTTTTCTATCCCTCTTACATTGATTCTATTATCGAAAACTTACGCCTATATCAAGTAACAAAATGTAATTTCATGTTATTTTATATTTTTAGAGCCTGACAGCAGCTCACAGAATTTTAAACTAATCATAGATCCATTTAAAATATTTCCTTTTTTAGTATCTTTCTGTTTATTCATTGATAATTAATTTACATTAATTCACCTGATTATTTATTTTATTTTTATCTGACTCGTGAATGTACTATTTCAGTACTCTAGTGAAAGTATTTTTTCTGAAAGTTTAATGATAATTTACTTATTCTTAGATCACCGTACTTGATTTTCTTTTTTTTTGCCATTACCAAATGACAATGCTCAACTTCAGAACGCATTGTCTGTCAAAACTAGTTGCTTCAGAATTCTGACAAGTTTCCAGTGACGGGAAGTTCATTTCTTCGGAAGAGCTGAAGTGAATGGTTAAGATGCAGATGATCCATGCACATTGCGCTCTAGTAGATCAGTGACCTGTACAAAAATCGTTGGTAAAAGTTAACCTTATTACAAATTTTCTCGGCAACTTAGACACAAGATCAGCGTTAAGCAAAGTCCTCAGCATCTTCATTCTATTTCAAAATGCATTCTAAAAAGACTTTTTGTTTGGAAGTATTACAGCTAGATTACAGGGCCATCATCAGTGCAACTAATATATTTAATTTCGGGTATGCTAACTCTCAGAGAAGTAATGAGGCTGGGTTTTTGGCTACTGTCATCCTAACTTTAAAATTCCAAACTTCAAACAGTTAGGAATAATCTCTGATTAGAATTTCATGGCTTCTTAATTTTTCTGATAATTTACATGTACACAGAGGCGCCATTTTGGGGAGACTCTATGTTCTGGATTCGGGCTGGAATAACCACTTGATGCTGCAAACAGAAAGAATAGAAACGCGGAAAAATTGTCGGAAGAAGTTTGGAGCAAGTGTGTCCCCAAGGTTAGGTTAGGTTATTCGATGATCTTGCTGATCTTGCTGATCTTGCTCTAGGTACCCGTTGTTTCACTGAAAAAGAGGTAAGAGAAGCAAAAAAAGAAACTTCGTCACTTCTTGTCTGATCCTGCAAAAGTCTGAAATGGCACTCTTGTGTGTTGATAAAGTTTTGTGGAAGTTTAGGGTTTACTTTGACAATCCCTCTAGTATTAGAGTCAGAATCTCCGAAAATGTTTGTTTAAAATTAGAAAACTCTTTGGTTTCCTTTGCCTCTTGTTACAATTTACTTATCATTGATGACCACTTAAACTTATTATTTGTTTGCTCATGATTGTTACTTTTCACCTTGATCCTTTGTTACAATTTCGTGGAGTTGTTGGCACCAGAAGTAATTCATTTTCTAAAACATGTTTCTCTGTTTTACTTCAGTTGTTTAGATCTGCTTGTTGATAAATTTAGCTGAAGTATCTTAATATTACAGGGATACTTCTCCTTTCGCCATGCCAGCGAATCCATCCACATTATTTCAGGCATGAGTTAATTTTCCTCTTTAACTGTGGGATTCTGTCATATTTTTTGAGTAACCTTCTTTTTTTCACTTCTCTGCTGTATTAGGTGAAGTACTGAAATTTAAGCTCTCAATAAATTTTTTTTACCCAACTGAACACAAAAAAGTTTTTAAAAAATGAACAAAAACAGAATAAGCTGATGACTTCAAAGTATGAAGTTTTTCTTGTACCAGAATGCACTTCCAAGACAGTAAATCTACATGTAATTGCAAGTGAATGTTCATATAACAGATGGAAATACTTAAAATAATAATTGGCACCCTGTAGTGTTTTTGATACTTTGAGACAAAACTCAGATCTTTAGCATCTTAGCTTGTGGCAGGTTTTAGAGGTATGAAACCGTGTATGTTCGTGTACTGAAGTAGAAAGTTGCTCTGTACGAAGTAATTACGCCTCTACATGGGAATGCAAATTGATGGTTCCCTCATTATTGTAAAAATTCATTTTTACTTTTTTAGTTGGTGAGTGTGTGATATAGAACTTGTTAATAAATGTTATTTCCCTCCTTTCTTTATTTATAGAATATCTGTATTTTTTTATTTTCTTTGTCCATCTGATCACAGTTGTCACGTGAAAAAATCGACTCATTTCCAACATTTGACAAGTAGCTTTTGTTCATGATTTTTTTCTTCGACATTGTGCTAAGTCCCTAATTGATCATTCGCTAACAATAAGAGGTTCTAACTCGTTAACTTGTTTTTAAGTAGCTGAAGAAAATAACACAATTACTTTTGTGTACTTATTTAACCAAGAAGAGAATACATAATTTCTGGAGTGCCTCTGGCAATCATTCTCTCCTCAAGAAAACTTAATAGTACAATAAAAGTTTAAATTCATTCTAAAATCCTAAAACTTGGGGGAATTTTTTTGAAAACTTTTTTTGGAAGAATTTCTAAATAAACCCCAAAAAATTCCTATTAAGAAGAGGGACCCTAACAATTTAAGCCTCTCAAACTCTCATCTTTTTTCAAGTAATTGAGTTAAAGTAATACCTATTCAATCTAATAGGGAGTTATGTTCAGACTGGTGCTTCCTTTATTTGTCAAGTGGCATTCTTTTGGAATGTGTATGAAAGCTTATTCCATCTTAAAACTTCTTGAGTTATATCAGGCGTGCAGAAACTTCCCAATCACTATATCATGATTGCGTGGCTGCTCGCATTTAAAATGTGAAGGCTGTGAAAATTGGGATGGGCAGCGCGCAGGAGCATCAAAACAGTTTTTTTTTGTGAAACCGAGCCCAAATTCGTGTATTTTTAAAAAAATCGCGACAATTTGTGAATAAAGGAAAAAAATGAGGTCATTGCTTTAAGCCATTTAGGAATGAAGGGGCTTTTAAATTGGGGAGGCCAAAAACTTTCTGCAATCCTGGTATATTCTGGAATTTATGGACATTGATTTACTTTTTAAGAAGATTTTTCTCGTTGCTTTCGATTGACGTTTTATAGGATTAATAACAGAAAACCCTCTTTCCAGTGAATGAAAGGAAAAATAAAAAAAAAGTAGCTGTCTTCCCCTCACTGAATAAACTTTTGTCAAGGAATTCAACAAAGTTATGTGTGTTTTATTAAAGAGTAAATATTTTGCCTCTTGTAATGATAAATAATAATTTACTGGTGTATTCAGCCTTTTTCAGACTAATGTCTCAGCAAGGTTGTGAAATTTTTTTCCATAAGTTTTCGATAAAGATTGAAGAAGGAGGGTCGCAACATTGAACAGCTTGACCGTTGCTTGACCGTTGCTTGACCGAAGCTTGACCGTTGGAATGAATCTGGCTTGTGGAATTTTTAGTCTTGGTATAGTTTACATTGTTGGCAATTTTTTCATGGTAATTCAGTTGGGCAAAAAGCAATGGTGAACTTCCTCCTAAGTACAGTGTAAAATCACCCAGTAAATTGCCCGCATATGAGAACGCCCTTGTCAACTGCATTTTTAAAATTTTGGTTCTTTACCTGTCTTTCAACTTCCATCTTTCCTCATATGAATTGACTGTGTCAAAAAGATGGCCCAATATTTGCCTAGCCCTCATGAAGGGCACAACAAAAATCTTCAAAAGCAATATGAAGTGTCCAATGTGAATTGTAAATTCATTGAATAATGTTATCTCTTAAAATTTTTATTTATTTGCTACTTGCCCACCATTTTTTAATCATTGAAGTTTATACCTCAGGTTATCGTGAGCCCATATTTCAGATTTTCACCATTTAAGGTAGTGTTACCCTAATTCCAGTTCCAATATTAATTTTTTCCTAGATGAATGTTCGATAAAATTGGAGCATGTTGTAAGCAACTCAACTCTCTACTAATACTTAGCCTGTTCGGTACCCGTTTCTTTTTTCTTATATCATTTTCATAGTGTGTCATATCCTCCGTGATGATTGAAAAAGTTTTTAACCTAATTCATCTCAAACGTAATCCTTTGTATGTAAAAAAAAATTTAGTAAACGTCCTCTCTGACACGTAAGAAAATTAAGTCGCATTGTTTTTATTTAAATCTCAATTTTCCCTCTTCTCTTAATTTTCCAATTTAGAAGCACTTATCAGCTTCGAATTTTTTACCGAAGTACCTACCAGCCATCTCTCATTTACTGAATCCATTGCTTTTTTCCGCCTTTTTCAGCTCTATACAATTTTTTTTCTTTTTTTTTCATGAATTCAGTATAATTAAGTTGCTGTAGCTAAATGTACCGGTATTGGACTCTTAAGCTTAACTTTAAGTGGTAAATGTTTTATATTTATTTGATGCTTTATTAATTTATTTTGTTAATGGTAGTTATTTATTCTTCATTAAGTGTAGAGTCTGATAATTTTTATCAAATTGTTTTCTGGAAGGATTAATTTATTTTGGCTGATAATGTTTTGTTAAAGTTTAAACATTTTCTCAGACTCTAATTTAAGACTTTCCCCTGTTTCATATTGTAGAAATGTTACATATTGTATTATTTGATTCAAAAATGGCATTACACCTTGTATAATATTGTTTTTCTCTTATTTATTAAGTTTGATAAAACTTAGATTAGAAAAGAAATATATTGAAAAGAAAAAGAATAAAAAAATCTCATAAAATATTGCTGAATTGTGCGTCTAACTCCACTTTTACGTTTCTATGTACTGTTTTATTTTTGTATTTATGTTTAATAGTGCAACATTTATTTTTATCTCCCTCGAGATTTTGAGCACTTATATGTAAAATTTTAAAGGCAAAATTTTGTTCAAGCTGTAACAAGAAACTAATAAAGTTGACTCAAATTTTTATGCACTCCTGGCTTTGTATTTTGTCTGCAACCCTTTCTCTGATCCACGCTCTAGTGATCCACCAGCACTAACTCCAAAAGCCATTTTATCATCTAACATGCAAAAATACACCACTGCACATCATCTTTAATCTTCGAAAAGTAAAATTTACGAAATTATAGACCTCTGTTATTCTAAAAAAAAACAGGATTAAATCACTATGCTTTTTAGACAGATCACCACTGATCATATATTCGAAACATGTTTAAATTTATGTATTAATTTGTTTCCTTCATGAAGTATTCAATTCCTCCATGTTTTAAGAAATTAAAAGTTTACCTAGGACAAGTTCAAAGTTCGAATACTTTTACGTATCTCATTTTTAAATAGAACTAAACTTTGTGGTAGTGTAGTGAGAATTATTATTACGGATGACTGATGAATATTATGCAATGTCTGAAAAAATGGAAGTGGGATATCGAGGGTTCCTTCATATCGGCGGTTATGCATTTTTAGCTACTCGGACGTCAAAATTTGATCATGCCATACCTTTGCATGTCCATTTCAACGGGAAGGTTTTAGAGTTGCTTGGGTTGGCGTCTTGCTCTCTTCCAGGAAACATGCATTAGTGTATCAATGAAAGTATACGAACAAGCAGTGCCAGAAGAAAGCTAAAATACTAAGATTTTATCGGCATCAATGTTGTAACTACGATAGTACCTATCACGGTTTTTCCTAACTATCACAACTCAAAGATTCGAAGTAATATTTTACTCGGTTAAGTTTCTACTTTATCCGAATCTAGATGAAGTTTAGTAAAGTATGGATTAGTGAAACTACAGATACCTATGATTAGTACCATAAATTTGATAAAAAAAAAAATAAGTGAAGCAATAAAAATGCGGATAAAGAAAATAAATATGCAGGTATCCCATTGCAAGAATGAAAATATGAGTACCCAAGAAACTGATGTGTGAACTCTTCAAGAACGAATCACTCCTTTGAAGAAGTTATGACACCGAACCTGCTATGCCCAGTGCTCTGAGAGACTGCATTCGTAACTGCTCAATGCTGTCATGCCGTGAATAAAATAATGTGCTCACTTCTTTCAAACACACATATGGAACCAACATATGAATTTAAGTCGTCAATCATACAACAGTGGCAAATACAATTATCCAGGCACCAATCTAATCACCAGACTTCTTCTCGGGCAATAAAGCGGTAGGGTTGAGTAATGTCCGTGACCCACCGAAAATTTTTAAAGCAGTTAAAAATTCCAATCACTAAAATTTAAATTTCCTATCAGTGGCGTTTCATCAGTAACCAGGATCTGTCTAGAAGTGTATATTTTCATTGCTGACAACTCAAAATCTCGTTCCTTCTCAAACGTCGTTTCTTCATACAGTCCGTAAAATGTTCTATTTTTTGGTGTACTCGCATTCGTATTAATAACTGAACGCTCAATTACTTGTCACGATGTGTTTCCGAAGTCATTTTTGCACCGCGTGCCTCTGGTTTACACTCTACTTCGTAAGTCAGAAGTAAGAACTTCGTCTGACGTCCAATTGGATTGCATTTTGCAAAAAGGAACCAGAAGCATTGTCATGTTGATTGTGCGACTTCACCCTTAGCAATAAAATTACTGTAATCATGCAAAAATATGAAATTTACATGGTAATTTTGGTATAAATTTACAGTTTTTAGTGTGTGAAATAGAAAATGTTTATAGATGACCAGGTTTTTCTTCCAAGACAAGAGAAGTTGCACAATCTTAGCAACATTGCAATGCTCTTTGTTCCTTTTTGCAAACTGCAGTCTAATTGTTTTTACGGATGGGTTGTTCCTAATCAATTTTCGTGGTCTAAAATTCTTGATTTCCGATTTAAGTTCAAAGAGAAAATTGACAATATTCAAAAAAGTTACGACAATGGCAGTTTCTTAGTAGCGAGAACCATCTCGTCGCACTTGTCTTCGAATCATGGATGTTAACGCAGTGGGGCAAAATGTGCCACAAGGCAAGAGGGAAACACATCGATTGCTGCAGTGCGAAACCACGTATCTCCACTCCATTGTGGTGTTTCAACATGTCCGCCTCCGCTATTTTATTTTTTCGAGGAGAAGTAGGTCAACTTTAGGTATAACTTGAAATTTTCACAGAATATTCTGCTGATGGGAAGAAAAATCAAGAAAATTTTCGACGAATTACGTTGACTATAGTTTTTCAAGGAAACAATGAAGCATGACAGGAAGTCTTCAATGTCGCAAACGGAGGTACTTACTTGATTTTGCACGTCGGTCATCGAAATGAAATATACCCTATCTTAGAAGCGTTAAATCTGCATCATTAGATATGCAAAAGCTATCTAAAATCTCCAAAAAGTGACCCTTTGGTAGTAATGCTATGTTCGAGGACGAGGAACATGGATTTCGAGGAAATTGCTGTAAAAGTTCACCGGCCGTGCAGTCAGTTTAAGGAAAAGCTCACTTCATTCGATTACCTATACTGTAATCTCTCTACACACAACGAGAACTCAACGGACCGGCAGATTTCTTCTCTATAGAGAGGTTCTCGATGAAATGATGGTCGATCATAAAAAACGGACGATCTCCGACATCAATGACTCAGTAGACTGAGGTACTATTCAGAGGTGAAAAATCTCTACGGTCCCTCGACCCGATACTTTTAGGCAGGGTGTGCACTCTGCTGGTCAGAAATGGTGCACACCGCGGTAGGTCCGGCGCGCACCGTGGTCAACGCGCAATGTGTGAAGTATCCCTACAGTCTTGTAGGCGCTAACATGCGTTCCGTGCCGACCGCACTGTGTCCGACGCTACTAGTAAAACTCGTGGAGTCAGCGTTTTTCAACTTGTTACAACCGTTAAGCTTTTGCACAGTCCAGATGACCGTCGTTTAAAATGATAAAGAAATCACAGAAAATCCAACTAATTTTCTTCTTTTTATTTACAAGCGGCCAACACAGTGCACGCACCTCTTGTGGAACTGTGCTGATTTGTCAGCCGCTGGAAACTCGTATACGACGGCAGTTAGGCATTGGATACGCTCGTCATCAGATATGCTCTTAAGAGGGCAGATTCCTAGGTATTAACTCGTATTTTGACCCATGAGACAGAGCGACGACGGCCGCTCGCTACCGAGAGAATGCTCCGCTGCCACGTTCGTTACGTCAGTAGGAAAACGCATGTATTTAATACAGGAAGTTCAAGGGACCGACTGATTTCCTCGTTATAGAGAGGCTTTCGTTATAACGATAGTCGTTACTCAGAGAGACCACTGTATAATGCAGCTCATGACTTAAAACTTTGACCCATTTTATCTTGAGGGTATAGAAATAACATCGAAAACTAGAACATAGAAAATGTTTGGCCTCGAACCGGTTTTCTCGCTGTGCTAAACAATTTGAGTTCCCACGCAGGCCCGGACTTAGGGCGTGTGCAGGGCGTGCGGCGCACACGGGCGCTAGCCTTTGGGGGGCGCCACGAAAGAAGAAGAGAGGGAAAAAAGGGGGAAAAGGAAAAGGAAAAAAGGGGAAGAAAGGACAAGGAGAAAAAAGGAAAAGGAAACAAGGTTGGGCAGTGAAAGCAAGGAAGAAGGGGGAAATGAAAGGAAAAAGGAGGCAAGAAAAGTGAAAAGAGAGTCTGCGAGAAAGGGGAGGGTATAAAAACTATAGACAAAATATAAAGAGAATTGCCGTCTAAAGGTAAATTTTCAGAACAAAAACTCCACTTGGTCCATAGACGGTCAGGCGCCCCTTGACCCTAAATTTGCGGCTGTACAGAAATACAAGAGTAGGCATGTAGGAAGGGGGCGCCATAAATCCATCGAACAGGAGCCGACATAGCATTTTAGGCCACGTCCGCCATCTTGGATTTGAGAATTTTAAACATAGTAAAAATTCGAGTTTCCGGTCGAAAAATACCCTCAGACACCGAGTTTCAAAAAAATCCATCGAACAGGAGCCGACATAGCATTTTAGGCCACGTCCGCCATCTTGGATTTGAGAATTTTCAAAAATCGACTAAAAATTCGAGTTTCCCGTCGAAAAGTACCCCTGATCCTGCGGTTCACAAAGCTCTAACGAACAGAAACGGAGGCCAGAACCGGGGCTCATTTTAGGCGACATCCAACATATTTTGGAGTTGATAATTTTATAAAATTGACTAAAAATTCGAGTTTTCCGTTGAAAAATACCGTGTGATACCGCGTTTCACAAGACTCGAACAAACAGAAACCGAGATAGCATTTTAGCCCACGTCCGCTATCTTGAATTTGAGAATTTTAAAAAATGGACTAAAAATTCGAGTTTCCCGTCGAAAAATACCTCCTGACACCGAATTTCAGAAAAATCCATCGAACAGGGGCCGAGATAGCATTTTAAGCCATTTCGGATTTTCGAATTTTGAATTTTTTTAATTTTGACAGATTTTGATTTAAAACGCGTGATTCCCAAAATCGAAGCTCAGATTCGGATTCCTCGTAAAAAATCGATGCGATTTCATGTATCATACCCTGACACCGAATTTCAGGAGAATCCATCAAACAGGAGCCGAGATGACATTTTATTTTTTAAGCCACTTCAGTCATTTCGGATTTTTGAAGTTGAAAAATTTTACTTAAAACGCGTGATACCCAAAATCGAAGTTCAGATTCGGATTTCTCGTTAAAAATTGATACAATTTCATTTATCATACCCGAGCATAGCGTGAAGGAAAGAGACGTAACGTAGACATACTGATTCGAGCATATGAATCCACCAACGTGGTAACATGGGTAGTGCTCAGTGGGTCAGCGGAGGAGGAAGAATAAGAATTTATCGTGAGAAATTCCTCGCGACGAAACCGAACGCTTAGCCGGCGCTAAGTGGCGCCTCCCCGTTCGGTTTCACTAGGGCGTCAGGCGGCGGCGTAGTTCAAACGGGAAGTACGACAGAATCTATGCGCGTCGTTAAACCTTTTCCCTTCACGCTATTCTAACATATGATACATGAAATCCCATCAACTTTTCACGAGGAATCCGAATCTGAGCTTAGATTTTCGATATTACGCGTTTTAATCTATTTAAAATCGTAGGAGAAATTACGGAATTGTCCTTGAAAATTGATCACACATTAGTGTTTTTTTACGTCATTAAACCTCTTTCTTTCACGCTATTCTAACATATGATACCTACATGAAATCTCATCAATTTTTCACGAGGAATCCGAATCTGAGCTTAGATTTTCGATATTACGCGTTTTAATCTATTTAATATCGTAGGAGAAATTACGGAATTGTCCTTGAAAATTGATCACACATTAGTGATTTTTTACCCCGTTTTTCTTCTACGTTCACGTAATGAAATTAGATCAACAGTTGACTCATCGACTAGTCTAGCCTAACCCCCCAGAATCGGTCTAAAGGGCGAACGATTTTATCAGATGAGATGTGCGGTCCTAGTTTCCGGTCAATTGCGGTTTGACGGAAGCTGCGATGAGGAGAAACGGAAGATATGCGAAACTCGGGCGGATATTAAGTGAGAAACCAGGTAGGGGAAAGGCTTTCTTCCCGAAAAGTTAGTGCTCGGGCCAACTTACATGGTCACTGGAGCATTGTGTAGCAGGTTGTGGGAAACTATTTTTTTGCAGCAACAACCAATTGGATCGCATTTTGCAAAAAGGAACTAAGAGCATTTCAATGTTGCTGGGATTGTGCAACTTAGGTACATTCTTTGCAAAAAGTAAACTTTGCGACGGTAATTTTCGTCTTGAATTCATAGTTTATTGGGAGTAGAGGTGAAACTATAGTTCAGATGATCGTTTATGTTTGCAAGGTTAGCGACATTGGAATGATCTTTCCCACGATCAGTCAAGAGGATTACGGGTTTATTGTTGAAATTGATGGACGAAGAGATGGACAAAGAATACATAAGGATTATTGGTCCTCCTTGGTCCTTGGAGTATTTAGTCCTATTGGTTGAAATGGGTGGTTCCTATAGACTAAGGAAGAAAATGATGCACTAACTGTAGGGTCTCTCGCAGGTTGCCGTTAGTTAGTTTATTACCTACGTCGTTTGTCCATCGCCACCAACCGCTTCCTTCAATAGGATCCCTTCATATCCTTTTCGTCTTCATTCTCTTTGTCTATCGCTTTCAACTATCAGTCCACAGGCTCTTTCCCCGGAAAAAAAACCCGATTTCAACGTCCCATATGCATTAATCGTGTGTTGGCAACAGGTACACACGTGGACGCAGACGACACCCCCACCGAAAAAGAATAAAACCACGATTTTTTTCAATAGCACGGGCTTCAGAAGAGCCGTAACCTCACCGTCATTCGTAGACAAGACGCTCTTCATCAAGCACTTCATTGAATCGGGCGAGAGTGTCGTGATATCCGCCCCGCGCGGTTGCGGCAAATCCACCAACCTGGACATGCTCCGGATCTACCTCGAGATCCCGGACCCACTCGACGACCGCAACGCCACCTCGCGGCTGTTCCAGGACAAACTCATCGCTAGCTCGCCGTTCCCCGATCACTTTCTGGCGCACCCGGTGGTTTTCATGGATTTCGGACGGCTCAACACTTCTTCGCTCTTTGCCTTCGAGGACTCCTTGTGGGATGTTATCTTGGACGAGGTGGACCGCTTCAAACGCTACAGGGAGTTCTACAAGCCTGTTTTGAAATGTGAGGGAGGCCGGAGAAATTACTCCCGCACGGTTGAAGGTCGGTTCGCCAAGCTTGTTCACAACCTCCAGGTGTTGTATCGGAAGCCGATTTACTTTTTTGTCGAGCATTTTGACTCCCCGATCGCGTCTGCACTCAGCAACCCCGAGCTTGAGGAGGAAGAGGTTCGGAAGATAGCAGCGCTGATCAATAGGTACGTATAGGTAATTTCTTTTTCGAAAATGAGAGCTTAAAATCGATGCTTTTGTTTTGTTTTGGAGTGAGCCTATTGGCCAGTGGTGGCATAGGCTCGGGTTATCCATGTCACTAATAGTTTCAGCTCCAGTTTAGTGAATGTGTAACAGCTTAATATTAATGGAGCTTAGGAAATTGCGATTGAAGTATCTTTCCTCACGTAAAATTTTGCGAGAAACACGGCGGTGCCACTAGTTTTCTCTGAAATCAACTCCAAAGCTCAAAAAAAGCTTTCAAAATTGAGGCTATAGGGGAGTGAATATTCCATGCTCCCCTTGAAAGTCCACCTTTACATCAAGACAAACTCTCTAAGCAAAGATAGGGAGAAAATACATTAGAAAGGTTACCGTGTTCTCAGTTTTGGAGTCCCCAAACAAAGTGGCAGCTCTGTTGAAGCCAGCGAAAGATTCAAAGCGTTCCATAATTTAAAAGCTTCTGTGATTTTGTGTCTTTCTTATGGACAAACGTTTACCTTAAAAATGTCTGTGCTTTGCAGCCATGCCTCTGCAGAAAGTAGAAAAAACAACATGATTTTTATTTATGAGTAGAAAAAATAACATTTTTTTTAATTCATAAGTAGAAAAAATAAGGAGGGTGCAAGAACAATCAGCCATCATATCCACCGACGGAAGAACGCAGCAGACACGATGTCGATAATAACGCCCAAACCCGAGATACAACTATTCGTACTCAATGGATGCCCGTGTTGCATATAGACTCATTTGAAGGCACTCTGCGGCGCTCTAATACAGATGCGCACCGAGCATGGCGCTGTACCGGCTTGCCACTACATTTTGCCGGCGCAAAGTGTTTCCGAAGATCAAGGAGGAATGGGTACCTCCATCGATAATAACCGTCATTGTACCGTCTTAGTTGATATTCCGGATCGTTATTTTTAATATTAATGCAGCAGAAGAGAGGCTGAATACGATTTTATTGAAGAGGAGACAGAGGTGTTAGAAAAACGTGCTTGAATACCCATATTTGACCGATTACGATTACCAACAAACCATTCTGCTAAGCAGTGAGAAATGATTCTATAAACTGTTCAGAAATCTTATGAAGAGTTTACCAGAAGTTCGTATCGATTTAATTTCAGTTTTTTTTATTTTTATTTCTAAATGCGCATTGTCCACGGTTTAAGGTTAGTTGGAGTGGCTCATGACTCGCAGAGCGAATTCCCCGTCCATTCTTTGTTCATGGCCTCCGTTTCCGTGGACAAGATCTACGATCTTAGCTCTGCGCATCCTACCTTGAGGTTCAGGCGGACCATGGACGATCCAGAGCTTGCCAAGTTTTTCGGCTTCACAGAGAATGAAGCGTTGTGTCTGGCGAAAAAATTCAACCGCAGCGTTGACGAGATGCGCCTCTGGTACGGCGGCCGCCACGCAAGGAGCGCTGCCGATACCATTTACTGTCCGTACTCTACTGGCCGATTTATCAGGTGAGTTTAGATTTAGATAATCACATTACATATACAGAAGATAACTTAACTGCCGCAGGGTGGATCGAGTCAACAGGAGAGGTCGGACAAATTTTGGAAACTTGAAGCGCCCATAATTCCGTTTATACAAAACTTCGAGGCTCTAAAAGTGCGGTCTCATTGGTTTCACCGTGCAATTTTCTCCTAGAAGCACCTCTTATGGTTTACATTTGTGTCGAAATAAACATTGGAATTTGCAGTTTTAGTAAAAAAAATTCCTGTCCGACCTCTGATTGACTCGATCCATTGTGTGCCGTTATAAGGAAAAACGCCGCATGAGCATGCGAATGTTGCCAAATCTCTCCCGAGAAAGTAGGATTTTTTCGAAAAAATAATGAATATTTTCCTTTGAAATATTCAGATATTTTGGATGAAATATTCATAAGTTTTTCGGAAAATTAGTATTTCATCAAACGAATTTTGGCAAAATCTCAAGGCTCATACGGCGTTCTTCCCTAGCACGGCAGATCAGCTCTCCGATGCATCGGAGAGCTAACATGTATTTCGTGGCTGAGAGCTAGTCATTTCTTCAGAAGGGTGTATATTATATATGTACCTTATATGGTGGTGTATATTGATAAGGTGAACATTTATAAGCTCTTTAGACTGCCGACAAGACTACTTTAAATTTACTACTACATTCACTACTTAATAGCAACTTTTCATCATTCGCAGATTAGGTGAGCCTAAGGGGTACTGGGGAACACACTATCTCAACTGGAAAAACGAAAGCTTTCCCTCGGAAATGGCAATGCTAGGCACACTCGGGCACCGATTAGAGGACTCTCTGTACACCAAAATTCAAATCCAACCATGTAACATCACACTGGACGATATCTTCGCATTGCGCATTAACCTTCTGGATGTGTTCAGCGAAAATCCACACATTCTTGAAACGAAACTATGCCACATAGCGTTGCAATTGCTGAGCGAATACGGCGTTTATACCACTTCATCATCCAACGAAATCAGGGTGCCAAATCATGAGGTGGAATCGGAGCTGAAGCGTCTCATCTACTCGTCCGCGTACTTACAAGAGAGGTTCCGTACGAAACCGGAAGATGTCTCTGCCTACGTCCAATCTTTAAGTCAAACGACGAAAAATGACACTAAACTTTTCGAAGACAGTTTAAAAAGCATACATCGACTTCTATCCCATAGCAACGTAAAAAGCAAGAGGGACATGTTGACCGTTTTGTACTATTCCACGATGGCTAGAACTTATCGTGACTACGCTATGTTTTTGCGTCAGTATTCAGAGGTTCCGTTATTCGAGTCGGGAGAGAGCAAATATTCCTTGCTCGATATGATGTTTTTTTCGTGGGATAGAACAGGGATTATTTTTGAGCTGAGGTTTGAGCAAGAGTCGGCACATGATGCTCTTGCGCAAATCCTGCAAAGACAATACGGTAGGGTTTTTGAAGAAAAACGTTTTAAGCATTTTATCATTAAGCAAAAACTCTACGTCGGAGTACATTATAGTTCCAAGTCCAATTTGACTACCTTGAGCTATTTATATAATTCAGATAAAATTGAAGATGCTGTTAGCGTTTCTTTGCCTATCACGGTAGGAGAGATAAAAAAGCGGTTCGATAACATTTTAAAGTCACCGAAGCCAGCACGAGTTTTCAATTTTTCAATCACCAACAAATGAAAAAATGAACTAATTTTCCAAAATTGACCAGGAATTAAAATTCTTCGTTTCACTTTGTAAGTTATTAAACAGAGTAATTTTGAAATAGATCTCTACTAATGACTGTAAATTTGTCACTGAAAAGTCAAGAGTGACGAATGAAAACATTTTATGAATTTCACGTATTTTAAGGTACTAGGAGCGTATTCTAGAGTATTAGAGACGTATTATTGGTAACTTATGGGAAGTATTTTTTAAGAGTTACCCCGATAATTTACAAATTCATTGACGATTCTCTTATATACTACAATTATTATTTTAGTGAAACTCAAAGTTCTTCATGAACTGACCTTTCGTATTTTGACATCAATAATACATGCAAAGCATCTGACTTTTTGTAAATCATATCAATGACTAAGTACGAAACCACTTATCTCCAATGAGGCGTGCGTTTCAAAGTCTTCGCCTTTATTTTATTTTATCAAAGAGATTCAAGCCAACTTGATAGCTTAAATTTTTTATACAGACTATTCCTTCAACAGAGAAAAAAAATCAAGAAAGTTTCTAAGAAATTACATTAATTAGTTTCCCAAAGAAAAAATACGGATGTCTATAACTTCGCAAACGGAGATACGCGGATTCACACTTTAGCCATCAAATCCGAAGCTTATCAAGTTCTGATACAACACAAGAGGAAACCTCTTTCTTTTGGCTACGATGAAAACTTTGCAAACGGAGATACGTGGTTTCGCACCTTAGCTATCAAATCCGAAGTTTACCAATTTCTGATACAACACAAGAGGAAACCTCTTTCTTTTGGCTACGATGAAAGCTCCATGCTTTCAGTGAGGGGTTGAAAGGGTAATGCGAGCTGCGCGGCCAAAAAGGTCATCGTGGCGAGAAAGGCGCCGACCCCCTACTCTCAATGCCGTCGTACCCCATACTGTCGTTATGCTTCCTCATTTTTTATCGGAACGATGTCGCGACAGCGACTTGAGACATGGCGCCAGCCGCGCCGAGTGCTGCGCTCAGAGCGCAAGAAAGCCGGAGCGCCTTCAATTTTGACGTATGCAATATGGACATCCGTAGAGCTGGAATAGTTGTATTAAGGCGCCTGAGCCGAAGACCGAAGTTCTAACAAGAAGCGTCCTCCTTTATTATCTTCATCCGGGACCGTCCACGGTAGTTACGCTTCAGCTAAGGAGGAAAATTATTCTGGAGTGTGATTTTTGTAAAGTTGAGTTTAAAATCAAGATTTGATTTTTCAACGGAAGAAATCATTGACAGTTCCCCCCAACAAAAATAAGTTGCGTGTAATTTGGTCAATTCTTTTTGGCTAAAAAAGAGCGGAAAGTTGTAAGATAATTCAACGATTTTAAGCACCAAACGTGAAATATCAGGACATCTATAAGGTTCCTCTCGACACTGCACTATTTCAGCTACAAAATCAAAACCTCCATTACTCTATTTTGGTTCGCATTTTTTCATGCGTTTTTTGTGCCAAAATTTACGTTAAACAATTCTCCAGGCACTTGTTTAAATGTCTGAATATTCAGAAGTATCGGAAAATGTAACATGTTTTCTCTGCAAAATCTTACATAGAAAACGATTCACACGACGGTAAGTTTTGAAATCAATTCCTGAACGAGACATTGGCAAGTATTTTAAACACAGATCAAATGGAAGTTAGATCATACGAATGACGCCATTTATATTTTTGCTATTTAACCAATGTTAAAAAAAAAAAAAAAAAAAAAAAAAAAAAAAACTTATATTCTGTTAAGGAGTTGATTTACAGACTTCCCGTTGTGTGATTTGTTTATCTTGTGGAATTTTGAAGAGAAAACACGTGACGTTGTGTTATAATTCATATTTTGTCTAGAAACTCATTTTGAGTGCTTTGGCACAGAGATCGCCTTTCTTTCACGGATGTCAAATTTAAAAAGTAGAATTATTCAAACGTTACCTCATTGTTTTCTGAACCTCTTTGATATACTTGTAGGAACTTCGGTGCGGTAGTTTTCGAAACAACCTAAATAATCTTTTGCAAAGGAGAAAAACTTTAGATTTTAAGCAGAAACTCCTTAAAGACACTATTTTTTAATAAAATTACAGCATAGTATAATAAAGCTGATCTTTTAAAACCTGATTTCTTGCATACTTTAATCACTCAAAGACTTATTATGTAACCTGTGACTTTGTCGTTGTTTCCCAAAAATTTGTAGTTCCCAAAAATTGTAGTTCCTAATTTCAAAGTGAAATCCAGCTCCACAACGCTGAATGTGATCGTTAAAACACTGAATTTAACAAGACCCAAAGAAGACTGACTTATGGTACATCTACTTGGTATTGCAATTAGGAACCATAATTTCTGCTCCATCCGTAAAAACACCTTTGTACATAGGGAAACTAATGGTACATACATTGTTTTTAGACTGAGCCAGGAATGGTGGTTCCTAATTGCAAAATGAAGTCCACCTCTACAACGCTGAATGTGATCGTTAAAACACTGAATTGAATCAGACATAAAGAAGACTGACTCGTGGTACATCTACTTGGTTTTGCAATTCGGAACTATAATTTCTGTCTCATCCGTAATAACACATGGGTGATTTCACGATAATAGGAATAGTCGTGTCGCCGTGGGTTACGAACGACATAGGGCAAAACGATTGAAAACCAAATTAATTAATCAATAGGAATGATGTCCCTGAACCTATCCATGCTAAAAAATATGATGAATTATTATTATATTCAATAATATGAGACTTTAAAGGCCGAAAATGTCCGGTCGGTTACGCGTCGCCAACCCCGATTTTGAAGCAAAAGAGCAATTTGCGGTAACAAATCAGCACTGATCATGAACTCTTTGGCAATATTTGCTGAAAAGAGACTCTAGTGTTCAAGAAAATTGCCAGTTTGAACTGAAATGTTTATTATTGAGCGAAAAAAGTCATAAGAAAGAGGTGTCGCCACATTTGGCAACAAATTTTTGCAGTTGTATTAAGTGCAGTGTTTATCTCGCCAGATGGAGTCAGGAGTTTCAAAACTGCCATCAAATTGTTCGCTGAAGTCTTCTTGACAAAACCATTACTGATAAGTCAGTTTTTTTTTACAATGAAAACTTTAATTATCATGAAAACCAGTGATTTTTACGTGTGTAGCACTAATTCCTCACTACGCAAAAACCTCAATTTAATAGTATTAAACGAAAAGGAAGTCTCCAAAGTTTAGAAAACTTTTAAGGCAGCATTAATTCCACCTCATAACTCAAGAATTGCCAAGTTTCATCTTTTGTATCATCTTTAATCTCACATTTTTGAGTGTCGGTTACGCTGTGTCTGTTACGTAACCGACACAATTTGGCAGGGCCGCCATGTTTGCGTGGACCTCCAGTAGTCCCGCGGGAAGCGCTGATACCTGATTCAATGGCTTGTTTATCAATCACTTTAACTTTGCACTGAATCAAAATAGAGCGTGCCAAAGCTGGAAAAAGGAAGTTTAATACCTTTAAAATGAGGTAATGAAATCCTGTTAAAATTGGTGCACTTTTATTTCTAAGGTATTTCACATTTTAACTATTCCTGTTATCGTGAAATCACCCACATATGCACATTGGGAAACTAATGACACACACGTTGTTTTTAAACTGAGCTAGAGATCCTAGATCCTAATTGCAAAATGAATTCCGTCTCCCCAACGCTGAATGTGATCGTTAAAACACTGAAATGAATAAGACATAAAGAAGACTGAAACTTGTGGCAAGTTTACTCTGTAGCAATGAGAGTATGCGCCTTTTCGTGGACCCCCTCCCCTTCCCCGTTCTCGGCACGTGGTCGGGGGTTCCTCTTCCATCCCCCAACGATGCGGCGAACCACCTTCCCTCTGTTCAATTCAGTTGGCGTGTTTACCTCCGCGTCACCGGAAGCTCGAGTCAAGTTCGTTCCGTGTTCCTACTCAATCGTCACGTCTCCGATTCACGTGCTCGACGAAATTCAGTGTTCGCCCCGCTCGTTGTAACCGTTTCGAGTTTTTGGCTCTCGCGTAGATCTCGATTTCCAGCGATTGAATTTTCCAATTTTCATCGGGATCAATTTTCTTAATCTGGTTTATTTTTTCTCTTTTTATCAGTGATCGAATTATTTTTGTTGTAATATTTTCCGGGTTTAAGTTGTGAGGTGTTTCGATGAATCATTGGATTAAAGTGTTTGAAAGTTCAGAGTTTCAATACCTGACATAATTGTAAGTATGCTGTTGTTGAGCGTGGTATATTTTATATTTTTCAATTTTTTGTCATTTCATTTGAAGGCTTGAAGGACAAGGCGTATAAGGGCAGTTTTTGCTATTTCGAGAAATAAATGTCTGAAATTTAGAAATTACATGGATCCTTATGGCGGAATGGAAGTTCAAACTGAGTCTTTGATGCTTAAAAATTGGAATTTGGGAGCGAATTTTTCACAAAATATGCATGAAGACTAGTTTTCCTTGAAATCATTAATATCTCAAATATTTAAAAAAACTGCACTATGCGCCTTGTCCTCCAAGCCCCTCATTTATATTCTTGTATTTACTTATTTTTGGTGTTGTTCTAAAGGTATAGTTTTTTAAGTTATTTTTTTAGAGTAGGAGGCATCACTCATTTTTGAGATGGAGCCTGCGGCACAGTGCAGATGCTGCTTCATGACTTGGAGAACTCAACTCTATTTCAGACCATGTCTACCTGATAAGGTGTGGTAGCTAGGTCCTACTGCAGACCTGTGCTTGCTAGCTGTGAAGCAGATATGTAAATATCTCGTTATATTATTAAGTCGAGAGCTACGCCCCTTGATCGCTTCGCGGACCATCCCCAAGAAGCTTTTCGCAACTTAAGCGTTGTGCGTTATGCGTTACTCTTGTGATTTTATAGTATAGAGTATATAGCAAGATAAGCAGTATGAGAAGAGATGCTATACTTATAACTTATAGGAGCGCGTATCGTCTACCCCGTCAAATGGAGGTAAAAGCTTGTCGACGATATCTCAGCAAACTGCAATTATTTTCGGCCATTCCAATTTAGCCGTGATGGCGAAAAGCCGTAACCATCAAATTTTCGAAATCGACTTTTCTACAAAATTTGTCTAATCTCTATGCAGATGAAATCACTGAAATAGTTGCACTAGCAAAGTTCGTCTTGTATGAAAACGAGACTTATCGACTGTGTAAGTCGGCTATCGTATAACGCGGGTTGCGACGTTGCAGACTTCCTGTCATGCTTCATTTTTTAAACGGAAAACCACTCAACGGCAATTCTTTAAAACTGCCGTGATTTTTCCTCTCTGTGCGCAGAAAATTCTGCAAAAACTTCAAGGAATGATGTCAATTTTTTCTCCTTTAAAAAATAACATAGAGGCGGAGATTTTCAGACGCCGTAAACGAAATATGTGATTACGGACTTACGCCGTCGATATGAGAAAGCCCTAGGTAAGTGCGCAAAAAATACCGAAGTTTCCGATATAACAGCCGCAAGGAGCATTATTCTTCCGGAAGCCAATCTAAGCAGTTCTTTTAAGTAAAATGCCGCCCTTATTCTGCCGATTTCTACCCTAAAAATGTGTTTGTTGTGTGTCCAAAACGCAAACACGGAAGCATGCTGAAAGGTAGCACTTACGGCTGTCTTGCATAACTCTAGCCTAACATGAATAAGAATAGTACCCTTTTTTATCATTGAAATAGACTTGGTCGATTTTTAATCATCCAAACGATTTCTAAGAGTCTTTCTGATGATTGGTGGTAATTTGAAAAAGAACGTAGCTTCTTTCAATAAAAGGTTCAGCTCAGACTCTAATGAGCCCATTTTCTCAATTAACTTCATTTTTGCATTAATCAATCGTACCCTCATACCTTGCCTGCTCTCTTCGCCATCACGGCAGAATTATTCTGTTTAGGAGCGATTCAATGTCAAATAAATGGCCTTATATCATGCTAATTTGCAGTTTTTGTAGATCAATTTCCTAAAACTTCAAGTTTTCGCACAGTGCGGCAATCCTGCCAGTAGTGTAGACAGACCTATCCTTTCATAAATAATTTGATTGAATACTAGGGTGGATTCTCTTATGCATTCATAATAAAGTGTATCTCCGGAATTACCTCCTAAACTTTGAAAGCCGCTGAGGGGCTTGGAAGTTTATCCAGAGGCAACATCATGTTTCTCGCGAAATTTTAAACAGCAATGGTTAGTTAATCATCTGCACAGGCGGTTCTTAGTGGGTTCACTTAAAACCAAATGCGGAATTGGAGGTGACACCAAAAGTGCAAAATTGTCAAAATTAAATTTAATTGAATGAAATTGTTAACTATTTATTTTTCTACTTTTTGTAAGAATTTTCCATGTTATATGAGCAATCGACTTTGAACAATTTTCGATTCATTTCCCAACTTTTCACTATCTAAAAATCGGAATAATCGGGGGAAAAACATAGAAAAATCCGATATAAACCGTAAAATTTGTCTCCCAAATATTACGATACCCAAGTTAAAATTTTGTCAAAATAGCATCCGTGAGAGATTTGATTTTCAAACTTTTCCAGGAGCCCCCTCTTACTGAGGTGCGTCTCCCCTCAGGACCCCCACTCACGTGCCAACAAAATGGTTCTAAATCTCCTGGCACTCACAAGCACAGAGGTCTAGAACCGCCTACGTCAGAAAGTCCTACTTTTCTATAATGTGCTATAGTGATCATCTAGCAAAAGTGTTCTCAAGGTGCACCTGGTCTAGAAGCAAACATCAATTCAGATATTGACCACATTTTGCAAAATTACCGGTTTCACCTAGAATTTTTTGCCGAAAATGGATCGATTATGCCTATTGCCACATCCCAGCTGCCTCCTCCCGAATAGTCAATTTTATAAACTCAAAAAAAAAGCTGAAAGTATGCTAACGCGAAAATTAACCGTTAACCGACTGATCAAATACAATATTTTGTATTAGCATACCACCAGTTTAATCATAGGATGTATGATATGAATTCTTTGGGAAGAAACAACTCGGATGTGCCGTTGTAAAGAAGCCAGTACTTTAGCAGAATGTCTTTGCTGTCTCAATTTTTGCTCATTCCCATAATAAATTCATCTGAAGGTGTAATACAAACTGTCCAGCTCAACAAAAAAAACTTAACTGGAGGTAAAAAATATAATTTTTGAGTTTTCCATGTTAAGCTCTTTTATTACTCTGAAGAACTTTGGATCAAAATGTCAAGCTAAAATTTGCACCATTAATGATGTTGCAACAGATTGTGTTTGAATCTGACAACAGTGATCACAAAATTCATTTGCATTCATCTTTTTCAAATTGAAGCTTTTAATGATCTCTGATTTTAAAATTCTCTCAAAGCGTTAATTTTTGTTAAATTTGGGGGAAATCTATGGCTCAAATGATGCGAAATTAACCTTTCTGTGCCGTGAATACAATCTCATCTTATTTTTCACCTTAAGGTGATTCGATGGACGCCATATTTTGTGTCAGAACGGCATGCGATGTATCGCATCAATTGGTTCCATTTTTTCAGCTACTCGTCATTTTTCTCCAATTTTGAGATCGCAATTCCTGTTGTCAGGAGACTAAAGCACTCGCCTACCAATTTTAACAAAGAAATTCAACGCAATAAAGGCGTGGTTTTTTTAGAGAGAAAACACCGCATTCGATAGGTACTGATATCAAAACTGCACTCGAACGCGATATTTTCTCTCTAAAAAAACCACGCCTTTAGGTATTACGTTGAATTTCTTTGTTAAAATTGGTAGGTGAGTGCTTTAGTCTCCTGACAACAGAATTGCGATCTCAAAATTGGGGAAAAATGACAAGTAGCTAAAAACAAGCAGTGAACTCCAACACAATGTGTTGATAAGGCGCGTCATTAACTCACACATATCAACTCCTTTAGTTGTCATTTACAGAGATTTCAAAATAGGCAAGTAGCACAACAAGAGAATTCATACGATCCAACTCTTCGACGACGCACTTTGACGAGACCGTGTATTGTGAATGTAGAAAGCCATTCGAACGAGTTTAAGTTTTTTGATCTGCCCCCAGCAATATCTTATCAGATTCTTGAAAAAAAGTGCTACGGAATAATTTAAGCGAAGAAAGGAAAAATTCTGTCGAACTCCTGAAAGGTACCTACAATAGATTTAAAGGTATTTTTGGGGCTAAAATATCCAAATCACCGGTACCTATTTTAAATCCCGATATATTATTGAAAAGAAATTGACTCGATATAAATGTAATTGCATTAAATATGTCTTGATTTTGTTATTTTAAACGTATTTCCATGCAAAGAAGTTCAACCATGTCCATGCTTTATTCATTTATGAATTGAAAGTAAGCAATCTACATCCCGAAAATCTACCGATTTGCCGTAAAAAATTGCAGAAACTTGATATACCAGGTCGATGCACTCACTCGTTGAATTTACCAACAGATTTCGTGGGTGCAAATATATAAAAATCAATATGCTATAGTCATTTTGGGTGCATTTATTTTTCATGAAACAATAATAATTTCAATCCCGAAAAACCATCAATTTTCCGTATAAAATCGAAAAAATCGAGATGTGTCGACTCCCTGACGTGAAAATTAGATTCTACGTGTAAAAATACTTACACATGGATATGCTGAACAGAAACCATGTGTGGACACAGTTAGGATACATAGCCCCAGAATACTTTTAAAGCGCCTTTACTTTCCAGAATCTTGACGGAATTTTTTTTTGGCTTAAACGACTCAAGAGACACTGTAGTTAAAAAATATAAAGAATTTTCGATTTTGACACAAAAAAAAATGTTCGTTCAGGCACACCATGTATTGTATGGTGTATTGCGCTGGTATTCAATCCTTGCCTTCAGATCAAAATTCTTACAAGGAAGCCCCTTGCAAGAGGCGAATTTTTTGTAATTTCTCCCAATTTTTTCTCCGTTATATAGTTGAATTGCTTGCCAAATTCTGAGGTCAATTATATTTAATTGTAATTTATACATTTCTTTTTTCCTCTTCATTTTATTTTTTGTTTGGAGAAGTTTCGTTGATTTCTTTGGATTTCGAATACTGTAACTTCTTTTCTATTCGGCCGATTTTTATGAATGAGACCTCTTTCAATTCGTCTTTGAACGGAGAGTAAGGAAAAAATTCCTAGGTACTCGCGAAACAATTTTTTCGAAAATTTGATGGATCCCAGCGTGACGGTGAAATGGGTAATCGAGTGAAAGTAA